ATACAATTATTGGCGTAAAACACGTCATTTCAGTGATCACCCCTCCCCTCTCGGTTGTTGTAACACCAACATTCGGGTTTCGATACAAGCGATGGTTAGAGTATAGATGGCCCATTGTGTAGCTATATACTAAATTAACGAACGCCCATTCCTGTGATCGTGCCCATTGTGTAGCTTTGTACTTAATTAACGAACAACCATTCCTGTGATCGTTCATTTACCAGTTTTTCTTGACCTGATCTCGTATGTGACTTAAAAGTTATGTGTCAGCTTCAACACTTCAGCTCTAAATGTACGAAAAGCATTAGTAATCAAACCCGTTAATAAACAAGGTCTGTCTTCGGAATTCATATTTAATGTCACGTGATTTGAATATACCGTTTTAATAAACAAGTAAATAAACTCTATAGACGGCTTGACTGGGTAGTGAAAGAAACTATATTACAAATGTACAACGTTTTGAAAAACCAGTCGAAATCTGTAGTAAAGTTTCTTTCACTACCCATTTAAGTCGTCTCTAGACTTTATTTTCTAAAAAGTGGGTTCCTTGTCATCAAGTTTTAATAAACAATTAGGTATAGAAAATTAATTGTAAAGCGGTGCGTGTTGACCCTGTAGTAAAGCTTTGGATTTAGGAGCAGGTGATTCAGATTCGAATTCGTGCAGCACTACAAAATATCCTTCCCAGCTTTAAGCTGTGGGTGCGTTATAAGCATGACAGTCAATATTTTAGCGTGAATGGAGTGTGTTAGGGTACTGCTGACACTGGCTGTCTCCTTCCTCGTCAGTAGTTGAAAATCATGAACAGTGAGAGATAGCCTTCGTAGCTTTGCCATATGTACAAAATACAAATACAAGATTAATTGCAAAGAAGCTGTGTTGAAACTCTATACGCTTACATTCATAAAAAAAGTGGTACTGACCATAATCTAAATAGACACAACCAATAAACATATGCTTTGAAGGGGGTGGGCATGATATCCTGAGTACCGATAAGAGAGTGTTGTTGTCTCTTGTTACAAAAGGATGTAAAAATAACTTTAAATGGGAAAGCATTGTTTCTATATTATGTGCGAAGACAAAACAGCAGCTCTGCTGATGTACGGTATTAGTTTTAATTTATAGAACTCTGGATTTCAGTGATTTGGTTTATTACAACTTGATTAGAAACTCGTTAAATTTCATTAATTCAATACAAATTCGGGAAAGAGATTCACATATCTTCACATCTACAGAAATTTGTTTGTTTATTTTTTTCGCCTTAAATACACAATTATCCTGCAAAAAATACATTGCCGATTGCTAGAGTTTTTTAGAAACTAAGACAACACCTTGTAAATGTAATGATAGGAAAATGTCGTAATCTTTTTTGTTGTTGTTGTTGTTTTTTACTGATTCGAACAGACTGATGGCATATTGCACGACGTTATACTTTCAGCTCTACGAGGCAGTTCCGTGAAATTGCAGTGTTTTCCCACTTTTCCTCCAAAATATCCGTCCACGGATTGTGATTGACGAGTTATGTTCTGAAGGATCAAATTTTGATTGGAGAGATGTTTGAGGATTTCACAAGTATGTCTGTGGAAAGATTTTCCATTTTCTGCTCCATTCCTGTCAAGGAGTAACGTATATTTTTCGTGAAGCTCGCTATACACATATACTAACCATTAAGTACATTAAGACTAAAGCATGCTTCCCGCGGTTCCTTCAATCGCAGTTTTCTTCTCCAGCTGAATTCAACAGCCATTATACATCTTTCTCAATAATTCGTATAAGGTAGACGGTATTGAGTGAAGAGATAATTGTATTTCTTGCCAACTGTTCAAACAAGTTTCTCCGACGTCAACAGTGTAAATTTCTTGGTTACTCACTGTTCACACTGTAAGACTTGGCGTCTTACAAATGACTGGCATAGGAAACGTTTCGACGACAATCTTATGTTACGTAATAAAATTGCATTTATTGACATGTTCATATTTCTTTAATTCTCAAGCTATATAGGAGGTATAGGGATTAAGGGAACGAACGACCTTGTCAGAAGCAACTTAACACAAAGTTAGTTGAAATTGTATTGTACTTACAACCTACAGCTCTGATGATGACAGAACCTTGTCGAAACGTTGTACTTTGTTGTTATATTAAAGTTTTTCTTCATTACCCATTCAAGCCGTCTCCAGCCATTACAGTGGATTAGTACACTGGCAGAACTACTTTGACGTTTCACCACGTTACTGTTGCCCTAAAAGAGTGTACACCGTAAGATCCATCTGTTTTTACCCAGCTGAGCCAGCGGGGCAGAACGCTAAAAATCGGGTATTGATACCCGCAGTGGGAAAAGCACAGATAGTCCATATTATAGCTTAAGATTAAAGAAACGAACTACAAGGTTTGTTGTTTACCTTAAGAAGAAAAGTCCATCGTTTGAAAGTGCTCGGATTATCTGTGATTTGTTTTGTGATTTGTCCATATTTTGACCTTAGTGTTCGTTATGCCCTGCGATAATATTTGGTTTTAGAAATGAACGAAAAAATAAAGTTTTAAACAGAAACTTTAACTAATTAAAATGAACACTTTCACGTAAAGGTTTCAACTAACTAAAGCATACAATAAAATTATGCTTCGTATTTCTCTATGTAGAAATCTATTCAGTAAACATTATACGTATTTTACAGAGTGTCTCTATTGATTTTATATATTTTCTATTTTTACACATAAACTTATACAACTTGTAAATATTTTGAAGCCTGACTTAGTGAATGAAGTCATGTCAGTACCAATTAAAATGAATAACGGGATTTAAAGTACAGTATGACAAACTGTCGTAAAATGATTATAATTTATAGTTTTCATTCTGAGCTCTTGATCTTTTGAATGAAACAGTAACACTTAAAGATGAAAATTAATGACAACATTAAATGTGAGATAATGATCCACCATTAAATTTGTAAACATTAATTGACAATATCATATCGTGTTACAGTTATGTTTACTACTCATTAAGTAGTTGTTTTTGTTGTTTTTTTAGATTAACTGGTCTGTAAGAAAAGGTGCGATTTAATTATGTGGTGTCCCTAGCAAAGAACAAAAATAACTTTATGAAAATTTATAGTTATAACTAATGTTAGAAACTCGTTTAGTTATAGCACTTACATGCATTGTTCTCAGACACATTCATGCTGTAAATTTTGGACTCAAATGTTTTTAATTTTGGACTAACATCACTAACGCAAATTTTACTAAAGTGCTGTAGTTAATCAATATTAAAGGCATCATTACTTGAAATGTTTATGATCAAATAATCATGAGTAATCACTACGTACTTCAGAATTCTAATTATCATTTAAGATGCGTTTACAATTTTATGTACGTGTATGGATGTATTTTAGAATCAGGGTGAATTAACTGGGCTGGAAAGGCTTGTCTGATTTAGCAAAATCGCTGCTATTAAATGTCGGCTGGCAGATATTATTCACTTACTGTTTTATATTTAGGGATGGTTGTGGATATAATGGTTTTTGTGACTCGAAACTCAAGGTTTGCAACCCTTTACTGTAAAACGAGCTGCATACATTGCAGCCATGAATGCGTTATAAGAGTGGCATGAGTATGCAGTAGGTGCTTTTTATTAACTGCCTTTTCTCTAGTCAATATCAGGGCTATATGTGAGTAAGAAAGACAAACCTGTTAATTTCTTCATTTTATTCTCAGTCCTTATTATTAAATTCACAGATGTTCTTAGCCTTTAGTGGTTTGCACTCAAATACAAATAATGAAATTCTGATATTATTAGTTTATTTGCTGTTAAGCACCAAGCTACACGATGGAATATCTGTCTGCCCGCAGCGGGTATCAAAACTCGACTTTTAACGTTAAGTCCACAGACTTACTGTTACGTCAGCGGCGGACAATAGTTGGATTAACCGTTAATTTATAACACCCCACTGTCTGAAAAGGCGAGCATGTGTCTTAGTAGCGGCGAATCAAAAATCCAAGGTTCGAGTCATGATATACTTACCATTGATTCGAACGTACGACCCACACATGGCCTTCTGATATTGAACCTATAACAAAGATTAATAACTTCCGCAATGCCAAGTTTATTTTAAGATGCAAAAAAAAACACATGGACACAGTACAGGGCAAAATAAACAACAAACGTTCCACGCACACAAAGGAAAGGGTAACATTTGGTATGGTCAACCTGAGTAGCATCTTATGCGACTCATGGACTAAACGAAAAACCGTCTCTAATTTAAAGCTGCTGACCAGGAGGAGGACAACCAGTCAGCAGTATCAGCTGCCTATGTGGCTACTCTTAACCGAATAGGTGGATAGACTGTCACATTAGTAACGCTCCTCAGATGAAAGTGTGGACGTGTTCGTAGGTAAGCACATCGGGAATCGAACCTTAGACTTTTGATTCGCAGCCAGTTACGTTAATCACAAGCGACCTAAAGAAATAGAGGGTGTGATTGTTTTTGCAGAAGTAGCACCCGTATGACAACAGGTATACACTGTGCAAAACTTACTGTCCTGATAACGGAAACATTAATGACGAAGGAAGGTCAACCTTTTACTCATTCACAGGTTTTCGCGTTTTCAAGCAGAACGGCTGCTCCTTCAGTAACATATATATATAGCTGTAGTTGGTGTATTAGCTAATAGCAACTATACGTTTTTATTTTTTAAACCAAATATAACACTGTGTATAACATGGAATACTACGAATGACACAACAACTGTGTAGTCAACTCATCCTTATGTCATATATTTACATAAATAGTTTTCACCGAGGACAATTAGTGTAAGTTTGTCACAAGGCTCTTCATTACGCATGTTGATTCCCTACGTATTTTAAGTTATTCTTGTTTAATAGCAGATTTACCATAGATACGTATACCAAATACTATTATAAAGGTCTCTCGACTGTTATAAAGTTTTTGAAGAGAAATATGAATGAATGAGAAGTAAACAAGTAACTTTTTGTACTTTTGTTCCAGGAAACGGAACATTTAGAAATTTCTACCATTCGTGACACCAGGACTGGAAAGCACGCGCGTTTACCGAAGGTAAGATGCTGTGAATCTTCATTTTATCTTACAACCATATTCACAAAAACTAAAGTGATATTTTCACTACTGGTTCTCTTGTGTAAACCGTTTATAAGGACGAACTGGGACGAACTGTGGCTCAGTTCTCTTGTGTAAACCGTTTATAAACTGTGGCTCAGTTCTCTTGTGTAAACCGTTTATAAACTGTGGCTCAGTTCTCTTAAGAAAGAAAGGGTACAAATAATGCTGAAGATTAATATCTGAAATTGCAGCGTTTTTAGTAGTTTAATTGGCCTTTTCGGATTTATATAGAACTAATGTTAAGATTACCACAGAAAAGTGCTTGTTAGCGGACCGGCGACTTTCCGTTACAAACTTGCCGGTTCAGAGGATTTCACAAAAACAAAAGATTAAAGAACAACAAAAACTCATCGAATATCTATAACGTAACATGAAAGGTTTTTCGTTGTGCTTTCATTTTAGGGAGGCAGCGAGCCAATCCCTAGTATCTAAAAGATTGAAAAGTCCTGCAGTCTAATCTATCACTTCAAAGTTGGGGACGATTAGCACAGATATGTGTCGAATAGCTTTACGCGGAAATCAAGGAACAAACAAACAAAATCCCTATAAAAACACTATAGCAATAATAAGAAAATTTTATACAGTTCTCCTAAAGAACGGAGAGTGACAAATGAAAACCGATTTCTTGACTTTAATAGTTTGACATGAAATATAAATAGCTTTGGACACATATTACTATTTAGCTATATCGATCCAAAACAGGAAAATAAATAAATAGAAATATTATATTATAAAAATAAATAGGTAAATTGGTTTATTGAACTGTTAAAGGTACATCTTACTTTAAATTAAAGTAGTGTAATAGAGAGAGGTTACAGTGTAACAAATTATCACACCTCCAACATAATGGTGAAGTTAAGTATCAGGAAATAATCAATTAAAGTCAACTTTTTGAGCTAAGTTATTACACTAATAGGTTGAATTACTAACAAATGTAGTGTCATCAATGATAGATACAATACGTATTCTCAGCTGTACTGACAACAAAAAAAGAAAGCCCGATCTAACTAGCGGTTCGTCAGAAAATGTATTACGGAATCAAATTCAATTTTGCCCTGACTGAATTGGGTTAAGATAGTGGACAACAAGGTTTCACAGTAATCAAACACAGTTTATTAATTTATGACACCAATGGCTTAGACAAATCTTTAAAGTTGCTGGTCCATTACCAACTCATGAGCACTTTGCACACAGCACTTTGATCTGCTCTCTTCTTATATATGTATGTAATTATATCAAAACAACACTTCTTATCAACCAAATTATCACTTCTACATACAGGAAGTATTTAATATTGTACTTGATTATACCCTAATACGCACTTCGGTCAGCCCGTTACGTTGGTAACTTGTTCTCTTTCTCCACACTTCTCACCAACCCTACTGCATTTCAGCTCCTTATACGTCGAGAACTTAGCAATGCTTGTTTTAAGCATTGTCTACACCTCTGTGTAATTCACATAAAAGATAAATAAACATATCTCAATCACACGTTTCTCTCTTTCTTGAGAGATCTTCACGAGAAGAAGATCTGGATAGCACTTGGAGAATCGATCACTATATACTTAATCAAGTAGGGTCAAATCTCCCACAATGCATTTGTCACCCTCGTCAGCTGAGCTTCCCTTTAGACAGAGTCTTCAGGTTCTTCTTAACTTGTACACAACCGGTTACTAAAATACACACTTGTACAATTTTGATATAACATGCTTTCATAATGTATAGATTACATTATTTAGGATCAAAAACACTGGTAGCAGAGAGGGTACGCAATTGATGATTTATGGTACAGTGATTATAGAAACTTTTTGTAGTTTGCCTGTAACTCATTACTAAATCTATTCGTTAGTAATGGTAATTATTATTGTAGAATTTTAACACTAGAAATTATTATCTAAAGAATTCTACAATGCCATCTCCTGTGGTAATGTACAGAAATACCAAAGAAATATCAATGTTTGTTTAGCACAATTGATTCCTTGATGTTTTAGGCAGCGTAAACATAGTAGGGTTGAAATTTGTAATGTCCTGCTCCTGCCCTCGTTCTTCTGAAGGCACGAGCATTCCTTTTCAAATTTCAACCCTAGAACTAATAGTAGTATGTGATAATAATGTACATGTAAATCAAATGTTATACTAGAGCAATGTTCTTGCATTGTTGTTAATCTAGGCTCAAAATATAAAGTGGGAAAATACTAAGTCAGTCAGTTCACTGACCTAACCAGCTATGCGTACCCAGATGTCAGTGAAAAACTCAGATCATGAAGCGTGAAAGTACTGAACTCAATTCGTTGATCTCATCAAAGTGGGTTGCTATGTAGATACTTGTGATTTTTTTAGCTACACAACATAATATGCGAAGGTAGTCTTCACTGACTTGAAAACCCGAGGCCAACCAATCTATAACCTTGCACTGAAATCCCTCCAGTATGGTTGGAGTTTCTTTAAAACCCTTGTCACGAACTCTAGCCAACATCGCGATGTTTGGGTTTGCAGACTTCTTATGTGAACAGATCTTTGTAAGACCCTAATGTGTCAAGACCACCTCTTGTTCCATATTTGGGATTTTGTAACTCTAGCCAACATCGCGATGTTTGGGTTTGCAGACTTCTTATGTGAACAGATCTTTGTAAGACCCTAATGTGTCAAGACCACCTCTTGTTCCATATTTGGGATTTTGCTGCTAATCTCGTATTCCGTGTGACAAAAACATTAGAAATATTTATTCGTTGCTGCATGTGGATTGAATACCTAGGTTTAAAGCTCAAACACTTCTGATTTGTTTTTTATCCTAACATGAAATAAGGTCCAGACGTTGAATTACTGTGAAATTCTCATCCAAAAAAAAAAAACGTATAGCTTATTTTCTCAAACATGCGAAAAATAGTAATAAATAGAGGTGTTCCGTAAATATTAGTCACAAGTGGTGAAAAATAACATCTAGCTTTAAATGACAAATCTATTATAAGTGAAAATGTGTACAGTTCAAGAAAAACGTATATATGTATATATATGTAGGAAGATTAATTCAAGAAACGCTCAACTCAGTTTCAAGAGGTAGTAAACAAAGGAAGATCAACATATTATTCAAGAAACAATTAACTCCAGAATTTTATACAAATAAAAATCAACATATTGTTCAAGAAACACTAAACTCGGTTAGTTTTGGAAATTCTATACAAAGGAAGGCCACTTGTTTTACTCAAAAAACATTCAATTCAGTTACAGAAACTTTATGCATAGGAAGACCAACTAGTTACTCAAACGCTGAGCTTAGATAGTTATAAATATTGTATGCAAAGGAAGATCAAATGGAATGGCTATATTCAATTGGTTATACGCGAATATAGCAGCTAAATAAAAAAAAAATTATTAAATGGTCATATTCTCTTCATTAAATATCTAAAATTCAACCTACTTTTTCTGAAAATGGCAGTAAAATGAAACCCCTCAACATTCTATAACCCGAGTAATCCAGTTGTGATATTACTCCGCTATCCGATTGCTTCATTAACGTCTGAATGTATTGTACTTTATAATTCGTCAAAACGGTAACGCTAGGCATAGCTATTAATTATAGATAGATTTCACCGAAAAACTACGGAAGAGCTTAGTAGGTTAAGTGGATCATGTAATGAGCTTAGATAAATGTTTGCATTGTATACACGTGTTTTACAATATTTTTTGGTTAAATGTTATGGCTTCAACAACGTTCCTCTATTTTGTAAATAAACATCTGGAAGAAAAAAAGGCCTGTGTAAACTCAGCTATGCCTAAAGATCTGATTCGACTGTGGGCTATCTGTGCTCTGCCCACCGCGGGTATCGAAACCCAGGTTCTAGCGTTGTAAGTCCGCAGACATACCGCTGTGCCACTGGGTGGCACCGACGGTGGTAATCAGGTAATTTGATATGACGGTGGTAATTTGATATCACCAAATTCGGGTGTTAGTGTAGTAATCGGAGAGTGGCAGAATATAACAACTGGATTATTCGGATCAACTATTAGGTTGCCAAATCTAATATGGAAAAACCTCTCTTGGTATCCACTGGTAAAGGAAAGATTCAATTCATTTTGTGCGGTTATAACAATCAAACAAAAACCTTCAATATTTGTGTTCTCTATCTAATACATATAAAACTCTTTCATTGTTCATTGCAATGGAAAATTCAACCAGTTTTAAGTGAATGTGACGGTAAAATAAACTTCCCTCATTAATTAATATAATATAATATAATACATAGAAAACTCTTTCATTGTTTATTGCAATGGAAAATTCAAGCAGTTTTGCGTGAATGTGACAGTAAAATAAACTTCCCTCGTTAATTAATATAATATAATATAATACATAGAAAACTTTCAGTATCTGTTGAAAATGGAAAATTCAACCAGTTTTGCGTGAATGTGACGGTAAAATAAACTTCCCTCATTAATTAATATAATATAATATAATACATAGAAAACTTTCAGTATCTGTTGAAAATGGAAATATTCTTGTCGTATTTTGCGAAAATGTTAGTGAAACAATATTCTCTGCTCTTACATACTACATACAAAACTCTCTACATATTTATTAGATTCGAAATTTACAAACGGTTTTGTGCGAAAATGGCATTGAATAAAAAAATCTCCGTATCCTGTGCTTCATCGTAATATTAACAAAGTCTCAGTATATAATGAACTGAAAAAAATTTAAACCACTTGGTGCAAATGTGGCACTGAAAGAATACCTGCCAATATTCTTTAAAATTCAAAAACAGCTAAAATGGGATAGAAAAATGCATTTAAAAAGAACGTTTCGACACTGTTAACGTGGCATCATCAGTTACTCAGCACAATTGTACACTTAAGTTCACCTAATTGGTGACGTCAACCACATAACCTTGAACTAATATAATATAATAGTATATTAAAAGAAGTATAAGTATAACCCTACTC